TCAGAAAAGGTAGCTTGTGGCTTTGAACCTTTCTTAGTAAACATCATCGGATGTACCGGCGGCTTAGTGGACATAGTGCCTTGAACTAATCCTCCATAGTGTACACCAAGACAATGACATTCACACAATAGAGCCTTAACTCCATTCCGTTCTATTGTTGTGTCCGTTTTGGCCATGGACAACACTTTGGATTCATAAGTGTTTACAATTGAAGCGACCCTCACTTCACACTTATATAGGTGACCTCCCTGTCAAGAGTATCCTGTATTACTCCACCTTTAAAAGGTTAGGGATTTATTAAAAGTCTATACGACTTACCCTCACCACAATCAACAGGTAATCTTGCACTTGGATTGCTTTAGGGAATAGATTTGGAAATTCTAATGTTCCAAGTGCTTAGCTGAATTTTCATAGTTTAGTTTTCCCCTTGAACCAAGTTTATGGGATCTCCATTCAGCAAGGTAGGGTTACTACTATGATCATTCTTTTAATTGTGGATTTTTAATCCCATTCCCTCTAGCAGTATTCCCAATTGATCTCTATTCAATCCTTTAGTAAAAGGATCAGCCAAATTTTCCTTAGACTTTACGTAGTCAATGGAAATAATACCATTTGTGATCAATTGGCGAACGGTATTATGTCTACGACGAATATGTCTAGACTTACCGTTGTACATGTTACTTTGCGCCCTTCCTATAGCGGCTTGGATATCACAGTGAATCATCACAGGCGACAAAGGTTTATTCCAACTTGGAATATCGGATAAAAAGTTTCGAAGCCACTCGGCTTCTTCACCAGCTTTATCTAAAGCGATGAACTCCGACTCCATGGTTGACCGAGCTATACATGTTTGTTTTGTGGACTTCCACGAAACAGCTCCTCCTCCGATACAGAAGACATATCCACTTGTGGAGTGAGAATCTCTCGAATCCGATATCCAGCTTGCATCACAATATCCTTCAAGTACTGCTGGATATCTCGAGTATTTTAGCCCGTATCCAAGGGTGTATTTTAAGTACTTCAGTACCCTTTTCAAAGCAATCCAGTGCTCATGACTGGGATTGCTCGTAAATCTACTCAACTTATTCACCGGATAGGCCAAGTTTGGTCGTGTACAGTTCGTCAAGTACATTAGACTCCCTATTATCCGTGAATATTCCAATTGAGCAACTGGTTGACCTTTATTGGCTTCCAGATTTATGCTAAGATCAAGGGGTGTCCTAGACAAAGGACCTTCATAGGCATTAAATTTCTTGAGCACTTTCTCTACGTAGTGAGATTGTGACAAGACAATTCCATCTTGGGTTCTGATAATTCTTATTCCAAGAATTACATCAGCTAAACCCATATCTTTCATGTCGAAATTTCTTTTCAACATTCGTTTCGTATCCATGATCACATCATGGCTACTCCCCATGATCAACATATCGTCTACATATAGACATACAATTACATATGTATTTGATATGTTTTTAACATAAACACATTGGTCACATTCGTTGATTTTGAATCCATTTGACAACATCACGTCATCAAATTTCAAATGCCATTTTTTCGGAGCTTGTTTAAGTCCGTACAAGGATTTGATCAATTTGCACACCTTTTTTTCTCTTGTCCAGGTGCTACAAAACTTTCGGGTTGTTCCATGTAAATCTCTTCTTCTAATTCACCATTCAAAAATGCCGTTT